CCAAAGACTATTACCTCAGTTTTGTTTTTGTTTAGCTGGAGAAAATTGTGGCACAACCAGTCATTAATTTCCTCAATGCATTTACCAAGAGCCTGTACAGGGCATGCAAGGCAACAACTGAACAAGAAGCAGAAACTAAAGACTACTGCGCATGAAACATGCTTTAAATAAAAGAATCAGACGATTTTAAACCGAAACTGAATGACTTACGGGGACGTTATACTACTACTGTTCTATCGAAATTTTAAACGAATATCCTCATGTGTGGCTCTCATTTTTCTTAGAAACAAAAATTAGGTAAAAAAATAAACAAATAAACTGCTAATTCTTTGTTTTTACATTTATCGGGTCCCAATATGCCCGAATATCAAAGAGAAATAAAAAAAAATGCATGCCATGGAAGAGTTCGGGTCTTAGGAGGTTAACGTTACTTCATAGTACACATTTGCTTTACATTTCCTCGCTTTCTGTCTGTCACACCAGATCTGCTCATATTAATCGAGGCCTATGTTTCAAATAATCAGGTCTACAGGTAATCCGTGTAAACAAACCCCACCGAGACCCTTCCTTCAAAACTTTGATACATTTTAAAAGTGTAACTGTTATAGATAAATTTGCTAGAGATGCTCTCGTGTTTCCTTACCTGCTGCTGGAGCTCCCATGTTAAATCCAATCTCGCATTTCCTCCTTCGACTCGAATAATTAAATAAATAAATTAAAAAGTGCGAGTTACTCTGTCGATGTTACTCAGGTGAAGACGTACACGTTTCTAATCTTCTCCAGTTATTTCAAAACTCCGCTAATGAATAGTCCCGCCCACCTTTTATTCAGGTGCGTCTTCTTTTTCTTCTTCTTCTTGATATTATTTATTGACGGTTTGCAAACAGCAAAATAGTGCTTTACCGCCACCAACTGGTTGGAGTCTTGACTGAAATGTGAAAATCAATCAAATCCTCTCAAACAAATGCGTCTGCCTTAACGTTTGCTGGATCTCTATCAGGATGTCAGGTCTGCAGTCTGAGTGACTGTCTTGTAAACTGGCCAATGATGAACTCGAGTCTGAGCATAACACAGATCTCAGCGGGTTTGCATCTTCAATCCACTGGACAGCTAGCAGTGTTGAAACCACTTCTCCTGTTTACACTGAATCATCACTGATCCCTTTCCTTACTTTGATATTAAACTCATATGCCCGCACTGTATGTGAGTTTATTTTATTCCAGATTCGATTTTTTTTAAAGTAGACCAAACACTTTATTTAAACATTATCCATTTCCTAATTTAGAAAGGAACTCCTAGCTTTAAAGGATGTGTTGATACTTTTCCTTGTTGTTTTTTCAGGTTGTTTATTAAACAAAGGATAAATTAGATTGTTGAATGAAGTAGTACCATAAGACATCTTACGTATTAACGTTTGCGGCCATGTGACCTAGAGAATATGAAACAAAGAAAAAATATGTCTGTTAAGTAATACACAATATATAGAGATATACAGTAATATAAAACAAACGT